AAAAAAATTATTATAATATTAAACAGTGTGCTTTAAAAAGCTCTTGTTACTGCTCAAATTGGGCTTTGATTTGGATTAATTAAGTTGACAATATTAAAATATTACCTAATAAAAATCACAAAAACAGAATAAGATATTTTAAAAGTGACAAATGTGTCACTAATGTAATGACTCAATTATACCTTCAAAAAATCGTAATTTTTCAAACTCGACTTTTTTATGCACTTTTTATGATTCAATTCTAAAATTAACGATTTTTCGATTTTTGACGAGATTTTGGTCGATTTTCGGTAGATATCAAGAAAAATGCTGATATACTCAAAAATATCCAAAATATAAATTCAACTATAATTTATAAACTATTGCAAATTTTGTAGTTTTCTCATTTTACATAAGTAAACTTTAAAACATTATAATTTTTGAGGTATGTACAATCTTGCCGCAATTTACACAAACAAAGAAAAATTGAGACCGTTTTGGATACAAAACCATTTATAGTTTTTTGTTATAAAAAAACAGTTATACAGGGTGCGCCAGAACTCGCGCCCCAGAGAAAATTTTCAAGGAAAGTAAGATACCAGGAACATGAAAAAAATGTTTAAAAAATTTTATCTGTCAAAAAATTTTGACATTTATTTTTTGACATTGACAATAAACAGAGTCAAAATGCAAACTTTAAACCCTCATAACTTCGAAATTTTTATAGATAATTTTTTTTTAACATTTTTTCCTTGTTCCTGGTATCTTACCTTATATGGCAGTTTTCTCTGGGGCGCGAGTTCTGGCGCATCCTGTATGCATCTCAAAAACTATGATTTCTAGGTTTGTACAGGCGTATTCTCCGGTTAATTTTACATATACAGCGCCAGAACTCGCGCCCCAGAAAAAACTTGACCCAATAACGTTTAATGCACTTTTTTGACTTTTTAAAAGATTTCTAGAAATGTAAAAAACGTTATATAGAACAATTCTTGGCACCCGGAGCAGTCTATTGCCAATAACTCCGGACTTATTGCCCATAACATCATATGTTTAGTACTGTTGAATATAAAATTTAATTTTCTATCAAATACAAAAAATATCAGCGTTTTACAAAAAATAGTTATCGAGAAAATTTCTGATAAAAGCAAAAATATCAAAAATATAAATTCGACTATAACTTCAAAACTATTACAAATTTCGCAGTTTACTTGACGCCAAAATGTTATATCACTGAAATACAGTTTCGCCGCAATTTACAAAATAAGAAAAAATAAAAATTTGTCAACTAGAGAGAGCATTTTAACCTGTTGTATTGTGTTCAGGGTGTCATTTTACGTCTAAAAGACCATATTATGTCAAGAGCTTTTGCGACTTAAAATTAATCTATCATTTTTTCAATTTACTACCAAAATTCGCCTTCAAAAACTCAAAAAATTCCTATTGTTAAACTCGACCCACTGACGTTTTATGCACTAGTTTGAGTCTCTAGAAAAAACCGTTATTTGATTCAATTTTAAAATTTCGATTTTGTTAACAATTAATTACGTTAGAACAAGAAAATCTAAGTAAAGCACAGGATGAAATAGAACCTAACTCTAACAGTGGATTTATTATATTTTCAGTAAAAAATAAATAAAAAGAACGAGTTCTAAAAATCACAAAAATTCTTTAGTAAACAATAATCCTCACAAATCCCTTTCCCTTTATGTTATTCTTTTCCCGACCCAATAAAACGCAAAACCTCTTAAATACCCGGCACTAGGTGCCCCTGGAAGCGGCCATCGCCGCAAACAAGTAAACATCCTCAAGCCGTCCGTTACGTCTTTGAAAAGCCTCTGCTTTTGTCCATCCTCAGGTACGCGAATTTAATTTCATCATCACACACCGCCACGCTTCATATATGCGAAATTCCATCCCTCTAAGTGTCCTAACACCAGTCACACTCCGCCTCGCTTCACTTACTCCATCACCAACGCCACTCAAGCGTGCTTCCAGATTTGAATAAACCATCAAAAGTTGAAAAACTATCTCGTCGCTTAATTCCGAAAATGTTAGTTTGACCGTTTTGCTCTCTTTTTTCCCAAAGAAAACGCAAGTGGAGCAAAGGTTCACTTGTCTCTTCTCAGTTTACAGCACCTCCTCCTTCCTGTGCTTTGTGTTGATATACGTTGGGCCTTTTTTGCATCGAGAGCGACAGTATTCTAATATCGGTTATCTCTAACGAATTTTTTATTGTTGGTGAAGAGACAGGATATATTATACCGCAGCGCGCGCGGGCTCTTGCCCAAAAACGTCAACTTTCGGTGCTAAATACCTCAAAAGAGACACATAAAAGAACCATATTTTAAAGCAATTTGACCATATTAAAAGCAATCAATTTCGATGGGAGCAAACATCTGGTCAAAGCCATATATCAAAGTGCCCTAAACGACGAAAAATCTCTAACTAATTGTTCAAAACCCGACCTTTCAGCCATTCATACGATGCTTCAAACGACCATCAATGGCTTCAATGAGCTGATGCCCTTTTTGGCATTTGTTCACGCAACCGTAAAGCATAATAATATTGGGTCTAACGCGTGGGATGCCCAGAGGCGACTCGTCCAACAAAAATCAGAAAAACACTGTTTAACATCAAGAAAACTTCACTTCCTTACGGTCAAACTGCGCAAGCAATTTTCCCAATTAGTGAGCCAAAAACACAAAAATTATCTGACTAATTGTACACATTTAAGAAATTTCCAACAAAAGAAATAAATAATTACAAAGTTATCAAGAAATATCCATTTTCCTTAAGTTTAGAAAACCTTTGACCTCAAAAATTCAAAATTTTATATGATAGAAATTTACATAAGTTCAAAAATAACTATATTAACAATTTTTATAAAACAAAAATATTTAAAATAGTAAAGAATTATTTAAAAATCAATTGCATAGTTAGAAACGTTTCTCTTTTAACTGTTTCAATTTTTAGTCACTTGTTAGATAAGGATACATTAATTTCAAAGCTCATAAAGCAAACAAAGAGAGAAAATAGCAGACCATTTTACACAATAAAAACCTTAATACATTTAAAAAATCTATATCCATTTGTTTCATTCAAATTAATTCTTCTTTCTTTAATTTACAACTTTCAAAAAAAAATAACAAGACAAATATTTATAAATAAAAAAATTCAACTGATGTTAACCACAACAAAAAAATAGCTATCAAGGTCCTCAAAAGACCACCATTAAAAAATGAATTCATTAGATAAACAAAGAAAAAAATAGTAAACTATCTCAAAAATTAAAAGTAGTTACATTTTTATAAAATAAAAAGTATTTAAAACAGTAAAAAATATTAAAATCAATTAGTTACGAACTTTTCCCTTTTCAGTGTTTCAATTTTAAGTAATAGTCACTTTTTAGATACAGACACATTAATTCCAAAGCTCATAAAGCAAATAGAGGGAGAAAATAGCAGACCATTTTACACATATTTAAAAATTGTGAAAAATAGCTTATCACAAAGTTTGTTAAATTTGGAAAAATGACTTTAGATAAAAATGACTTTAAGATAAATGGCCGTTCAGAAAAATTTATATTTTTTTAATTATTTTTGCTCTGGAAATTATTTACAACAATTTTTTTTCTGGTGATATTAATCATAATAAAAAAATTGCTGTTACAAAAAAAAAAAAAACGAAAATAGCGAACAGTCCCAAAGATCAAAAGTTGGACTTAATAACAACGTAAGTATATAAACATGTAAAAAAGTGTAGGAAAATGTTTTTTTTTTGATAAAAAGTCTTACAAACGTAAAGAAAAACAATTTAAAATTATTTACAAATTATTAAAATTCCCTTTTAGCTGTTATAGTTTTCAATAATAGCCAATTCTTAGATAAAAACACATTGATTACAAAGTTTATTAAGATAAAGAGAGAAAGAAAATAGCAGATCAAAACTTTCTATTTTCGAAAGATCTTATTGCAAAATTATTTATTAAAATTCTGATTTTTCCCAACTTTTTTGTTAAATTTAAAAGATCAATTAAAAAAAATACGTAAAATAAATTAATAGTTATTTATTATACAAGACTATAAAGAGATTGTTTATCCACGAATGAAAAGGTTAAGTTCACGAGTGACGAAGTATCTTAAAGTTTAAGAGAAAAAAAATAATATTTCAAAAAAAATACAATTTGGGCATTTCTCAATACGAAACGTCAGAACATTTTTAACATATTTAAAACAAGTTTAAGCCTTGTTGAGTCTAATTCGAAGAATAAAATTGTGTATTCAAGTCGTTTGAGTGTAAATCGGACGCTTTATTCCACCTCGTGGATGATAAAATTTGTAAATTTAAATGAATAAAATAAGTTAAAACATTTTACCTACCCTTGTTGTTAAAATGTTACTTTATCTACCCTTGCGGTTAAAGTGCTACTTTATCTACTCAAAAGAGTTGATAAAGAAATAGTTTAACATCTGCTATAGAAAAAAAATCTCTTTTACTAGGTATAAGTAAAAACCCTAAATCCAAATATTAAAAAACAAAAAGCAGATACGGTTTTCAGAATTAGCTCATTGTTAGACAAAGACACGTTAATTCCAATGCTCATTAAGTAAACGAAGAAAGAAAAGAGCAGACCCTACCATAAATTACAATAAAATACCAAATTTAAGACATTTTTCTTTAAGTTACAATTCTGAAAATTTAAATTAAAATTTAAAAATTAAATTATTAAATTAAATTAAAATTTAAATTTGATAAGGGTTCAGGTTTGCATAAATTTCACCCTTTCCTCGCTTAACCGAAAAAACTTTGTATGGCATGCGGGAGTATTTTTTATTCTTTGTCTTTTATCGTTTTTATTCGTCTCAAATGAGACGCCTTTGATAGATTTTCGTTCCCACCGAACGAGCTTTTGTAAATAGTTCAACAGGTAGCAAGGTGGGGCAAAAGAAGAGGGGGTTGTTGAGCTTCTTTAAGACCATGTGATTCCATCTTCAACTGTCATTTACAAGAAGCGACAAGTACAAGCAAGTGACTACCATGAAAAGTGAAACTAATAAGAAAACTGTGATATCTGAGAGCCGCAAGGTATTTTACCCAATTCCCAAATAAAAAAATAATAATAATTGCGGTAATTTTTTATTTTTACTATTATTATTAACAATTTTTTCTTAGGTCCGCAAACCTCTGATGGAGAAAAAACGGCGCGCCCGCATCAACGACAGTCTGGAGACCCTCAAACAGATCCTCCTCGACTCAAAAACCACCCTCAAAGAGTCCTCCGGGAAGAAGAGCGGCCAAAGAACGGCGAAACTCGAAAAAGCCGATATTTTGGAAATGACAGTACGATACGTCCAACACCTTCGAAGCAAACTCAACCAGAATGAAACTAAAGCTGAGAGAAAAAATTGCGATGCAACTCCGGCGATCAAAATGGGAGTTACCCTCATACCCACGAAATTAACCAATGGGGAAATCGTTTTCGTCATGCCCTCCAATCTAAATTCGCAAAATTGCCAGGAGTTCGGAACGAAAATCGCGGAAAATGTGTGGAGGCCGTGGTGAAATTTTTTGTACATACAAGACTGGTTTCGTGCTGTGATATCAAGTGTAAATAAATTATTTAAGAAATTTAAAAATTTAAATTTTCTTTCATTTAATAAAATTGAGCGGCAATATAGGCAACCAATCATACACCTTTCACTCTCAAGGTGTAACAGAGACGAAAATAGCTCTATTTTCGTCCAACTCACGATTACAAAACAATCCCCTCTATTTATCCTTCATTTATCAAATTTTTTCAGTCTCTCATTGGCACTTATGAAGATGTGCACGTGCTTTTTTGATTATTTCACAATTATGTAAAAACTGTGTTCTGTGATTTTGTGACTCAAAACAAGACTTTTTTGCAAAGGTAAGAGGTTAGGTCACGTTGGCCTGAATCCTACAAGTTTGTGTAAAATTACAAGTTATTGCAACTTTCTAAAAATCGAGTCCTTGGCCATAGGGAGGTCCAAACCGGATGCAGCGACTTTACTATTATTATTACGCAACAAGACAATTAATCCTTACATGCAAAAAATAATTATTAAATACCTTGAGTGTTTATTTCGCTCTTGTGAAAAGTATATTTAACACTGAAGCCCCCGGACATGACTGACAACACGTAGCCGCAAGTCTTATTTTTGGGTTTCCCCCTTTATCTTCAGTGGTTTATTTGCATTCGCTTGTTTATTCAAAATTAATAAAAATTTTAATCTTTCCCGATTGCATGTTTTGCACTTTTATCAAACCACAAACCCTGGTTTTGTATTAAATCGTATAAAAGCCTGTCGCCTTGTATCTTACCCAGTTTTGGGCTTGTTTTTACCCAGTTTGGGGCACCTTGAACTTGTGCATTTTAATTCCCAGGTCAAGACCAAATCGGCGATAAATTAGAATTGATAATGGTCGCGTGTGGACCACAGTTTTGCATGTTTTGGGCCACTTAAGAAATTAATTCGTTTAAAAGTTCGGTATCTTCATTTATTCATCCGAAATAAATTCGAACACGAATACCCCGTTTGTTTATCGCGCGTACGTGCGATGATAATGTTTTAATACGGGATTATTTGAGTTTTTTGCGTTGTTGTATTGTGGAACATGACGATATTTTTTTAATTGGTTGAAAAAGTGAGAGGACTTGGTGAAAGTGGTCGCTGGATTTGTCGTAATTGAAAGCAAAATGGTGAGTGTGTAGTAGGAAAAAAAATAGAATTAGATTCGTGTGCAATTGGATAAATAACGTTTGTTATTGTCGGTGATTAATGCCCACTCATCGTTAAAAGCACAATTTTAAAGTCTTGGGAATGAAAATCAAGGTTTGTTCGTTGCAAACAACGGTATTTGCATAACAAATATCGATTTTGTCGCAAATAAAATAAAATGTTTGCTGATCTTTCATTTTTTGGGGCAAAATATGTAAATGATGTAATGTTAAAAAATTTAAAATTGACCGAAATTTTAAGACTGACGAAGGTTATTGCATAAAATACGAAATTAAGAATCTAACTTGAAAAGAGTAATTTAAAAGATTTTATAATAGTAACTTTAAAAATAATTTGGAAATTAAATACAGAGTGCGCCAGAACTCGCTCCCCATGTAAGGTAAGATACCAGGAACATGGAAAATGTGCTAAAAATTTCTATCTATAAAAATTTCAAAGTTATGAGAGTTTAAATTTTGTATTTTAACTCTATTTATTTCTGTTGGAAAAATAATTTTTCAAGTTTTTTGCTACAGGCTATTAGAAGAGGAAAAACAAGGAAGCTTTATCCTAATTGTAAATTGTTTAATGTTATTTGTGGCTTTATTAGCACAATTTTGTACCTTTACTAAATAATTATAAATAACATACAAGATCATCAAATAAATACACATAATTTTTTCCTATCTTACTTGAAATTTTTCTCTGGGGCGCGAGTTCTGACACACCCTGTATATCAGGCGTTTTTTCGGTAGATTTTGCAAATTTTAAACCACTTTTTTGAAACTCATACTGGATGTCCTAGTTACTTGGAAAAAATATCATTTTAGATATGTGAAGGTGTAACACGTTTGATTTCATAAAAAATAGTTCAATAGTTTTTGAATGAAAAATAATGGTCCTACTTTTTCTACATTTTATAACCAAACTTTCATAATACTTCGGTATACATTTCTGTAGCAACTATACGAATTTTTCAAATGAAATTTCAAAATATAATCCATTTCATTTAAATTGGCATAACAGTAGGCCATGATTGTGTAAACTGCGCTTTAAATGTGAAAAAGGCTTTACAATTAAGGAACTAAATTTGTCACTAAAAAAAGTGAGGTTAAGATGGTTAAAATTTTATTTTTAAAGAACCCTCTTTCAAAGGTTTTCAGAGAGAGTTTTTCTCCATAAAAAGTTTCATCCCTTTGTAGGTGTAGTTTTGACACCAAAAACATACACTATTTGCTTTGGAGAAAATATAGACTTTCGTTGATAACAAATGGCTTCTTGAAATTTCAAAATACGTTTCATTCACACCGGAGAAGAAACACAATTTGTTTTCCGTGAAAGTTGCAGCCAAAAGGGGTTTGGATTTTTTCATTAGAAATGTAGGACAAAATTGTGAATTTTTAAACAATGGTAAAGTTGTTGCGATCGGAGTGGAAATCTGTACAAAATGAAGCCTCCCGTACCGAAGCTTGAAAAATCGTGTTTTGCCGTAAATTCAAATTCAAATTGGTATATTTGATTCCATTCCACCTAAAATGCCTAAAACAGGAACAACAAAAAGAAATTGATTATATTTTCAAACATACCTTAGCGTGTACCTTAAATCTGGGGTTCTGAAGAGAACTACTTTTGATTATAATTTGAAAAAATAGTGGGAATAACGAACAAGCAACGAAAACAGTGAAAAAACGAATACAAATGTCAGTCATGTCAGTTCAATAAACCATGTAGGTAAGTAATCAAAGAAAAACAAAAACCCCAGTATCTATTATATCAGGGACATGCGCAGGGCTACAAACTTAAATACGAAATTCCATAGCCACCTATTATGCCAATTTCAATGAAATCTACTTTACATACTTTTAAAAAATCAAAGTTCTTTTGGTGATGCCACTAAAACTAAATTTTTCGTCTTTCAATACATGGTATTTTTCTCTTGCTAAAATAAATAAATAATATTTTTAAATGTAAAATTGTTGTTTTTTAAATAATCGCAACGTTGATTTTTCTACTTAGAAAGTAATAAAAGCTGTTCATTAGATAATCGAAAATAATAAAATTAAAAAATATATAGCCATTTTCAGAATAGTCTTGAAATAGTGTGGAAAACCGAAAAAATGACTATACAGCGTGACTCAAAAGGACCGTACAATCACTGGAGTGGTTTTTAGAATCATTGAATTACTCTCAAATTGCAAACCAAAATATTGTGCCAACTTTCCTTACGGAGAAATAGCTATTCGAAAATCCAAGTTTAATGTTAATTTTTTATTAATCAGGAACGTAATTTTATATTTTACTAGTAAGAGACGTTAAAACATGCATCTGGGTTTATTAAAAAACAAATAAAATCTTTAAAATAATAAGTAAAACTTGGATATAAACTCTTTCCTAATGTAGAGATTTTCTGAAAGGGTAAAGTCGGCAACAGCACAAAATTTCTTGATTTGTATACCTAGTAACAAATTTTCGAGTGCAAGGCACAATCTACTACAGCGTTGCCCGTTTGTGCAATTTTTAAACATTTTGAAAAATTTAGAAGCATATCGGCGTTTCTTTTAACGTTTTCTATCACCATATACGCGGTTGTTCGACTTTTTTGAATTACCATGTATTAGTAGAGAAATTATTTAATACTTATTTGCATTTATAAAAGAAATCCAATGCCATAAATCATGTTGATTTTGTTAAAAACAGATCATGTGTTTTCGAAATTTGTAAAACTGATATATTGAGATTTTCGTTCGAAATACTTACAAATTAAAATGTCAAAACAAGTTTAAAAGGACAAATTTAATATATTTTGTCAGTGTTTGTAGATTAATTAATGTTACGAAAGGGTAATTGATTTTTACGAAATACGAAAAATAAATGTATTTCTTTCGTTATTTATTTGATTTATCAGCAAATTATAACATTGTTATTTTTATTATAGGGAGATTTTGGCATGATGTATGATATATTTTTTTGCTTTTATTGTGCGCAAGAAATTTTGTTTCAGTTTTTATGTGAAATTTAAATTTTATTAAAATTATACTCCTAATTTTATAATATAAAAAGGGAAATGAAACCCATAATTTTATCATAATTTGTTTAAAATCGGATAATTAACAAGGAAGTTTTTAAATCAAGTCGAGGTCGATTACTTTGGATAATAAAATCCTTTTTTTTTTATTTTTGTATTCCCAAGACAAACTTCTTCCAAACCTTAACCCACTTCCATTACATTTCACATATTTACTCGTACAATGATAATAAATAACTTAAAAACGCTTAATCACAAGAACTGCTGATAAGTACTTTTTAGTGTTGATTCATTATACTCTTCCAATAAAATATTACAACAATAATAAAACACCGATATCGCAATTGGTTTCTTTACGTCAGCTATCGGCCAAATCAAAGCCTCCAATATTTTCCCATCTATTTTCGCCGCAATAATATTATTTTCACAGATGTGTCCCATCTCGGGAATGGTCCAATTCCTCATTGTGGTGGTAACCCTCCTCCTCCTCTGCCACGCCGCCGTCGTGCGCTCCTTGGAGATCGTCTTCGAGCCGCGAAACGCCACCGTCCACATGCACGACACCATCCCCATAGCTTACCAAATCCTCAAAGCCCCCGACGAGAATTTCAACACGGTGCGGCTCTACACCGAGAACCCCAACGTGGCCAAACTCGACTCTTTCATTATAAAAGCCCAAAGCGGGACGTTCAACCTCACGGGGAATTTTCTAGGTAGCTTTTGGCTCTCCTCCAACCGACTTTAACCGAATATTGTTTAGGTAAGACGGAAGTGAGGTGTCAGGGGGCCCAGGGGAAGCTGGATGTGACCGTAGTGAGAAAAAAACGGGTCATTGACACGATTTTCACCTCGTCGGTGGCCACACTGGTCAGCATTTTGTACATCAACTTCGGCTGTGCCCTCAATTGGGGGGAAATGATCCGGAATTTGAAACGGCCAATAGGGCCCGCCATCGGTTTCGTGGGCCAGTTTCTCGTAATGCCATTGGTGGGTGGGTACCAATCACAAATTGAGTAATGAAAATGGGGGATTTTAGCTCAGTTTTGGGGTCGGTAAGCTTCTCTTCCCCGACAGTCCTGAAATGCAGCTCGGGATGTTCTTCACGGGGGTTTCCCCGGCCGGTGGTGCCTCAAACATCTGGACGGTGGTCCTTGATGGTAACATGGACCTTTCCGTCACCATGACGACAATCAGTACCTTAGCAGCCTTCGGGATGATGCCCTTGTGGCTCTTCACTCTAGGAAAAGTGATCTTCGATCAGGGCGACATAACTGTGCCTTATTCCCAAATTTCCACTTATGCTATAGCACTGGTGATTCCCCTAGGAATCGGTTTTTTACTCTCGCGGTATTGCAAAAAAGTCGCGACGTTTCTAGTCCGGATTTTGAAGGGCTTCTCGGCTGTTCTCCTACTTTTCATCATAGTTTTCGCAATTGTGACCAATTTGTACTTATTTGAGTTGTTTTCATGGCAGGTGAGGCGCCATCTTGCCCACAAACCCGATAATTGTGTAGATTGTTGTCGCAGGGATGGGTCTGCCCTACTTGGGGTACCTCCTCGGGTACCTCCTTGCCGCAATCCTCAAACAACCCTCACCCGATTGTCTCGCAATTGCGATTGAAACGGGGATACAAAACACCGGAATCGCCATTTTCCTACTCAGGTTCACCCTACCACAGCCCCAAGCCGACTTGACCACAGTGGCCCCCGTTTCTGTGGCCATGATGACGCCTTTGCCACTGCTAATTATGCTCGTTTACAAGAAAATTAAGGCCAGGTTTGGGCCCAAGTCAGGGGCGTGCGTTATTTTTGCTATAGGAGCGATTTTTCAGGCTATATCCCGCTCGCAAGAAGTTAAATATGGCGGTGCAAGAATTGACAATTGACGGGAATTCAAATACTCAAAAGGAGGATCGGCTCATACCGACCATAGCGTAATCTCGGGCTGTGATTCATCAGCTTTAAAGTTACTTAAAAGGGGGCGAAAAGTCGGCTAATGTACGGAAAATCGGACTCACCGTGAAAATTCAGGCCGGGACGAGTCGTCAGGGACACCAACTGAAGCGTGAGTGCAGTGTTGCCAGCCCAAAACAATTAAATTCACCAGATCTGGACAGAAAAGTTACCAGATTTACACCTATTTTCACCAGATTATACTTAAATTTTTCCAATACTGTCGAAGATTCACGATTTTTTTCGCAAATCTGCTCAAAAACGTGCTTATACGCTCGAAAAATGCAAAAATAGGTAACGCTATTTTATTTAGTCTAATTCTATAATTTTTTGAATAGTTTTTAATTCAATTTTGCGAAATAACACGTAGCACTGAATTAGTGGTAATCCTTCTAAATTTGTTATATCAGAATGTTTCAGGTGTCACTCCATACTTACGTTGTAAAACATGCTAAAACACCTGATAAAGGCAAAAATAATGACTTACCTTGATGTTTTTTTGGTTTGTTTTGGCAAAATCTTCATTTTCAACTATATTTTGTATTTTTCGTCCTTTTTTTGTGTGACAAAGTTTCACTCAAAAAGAGCTAATTCGAATGAAACAAACGAAATAACATCAATTTAGATTTATTTTTGTTGTGTTTAAGCATGTTTTGACCCTATCCTGTAAAATAAATGAGTCTCTGATTCAAAAACGAACTAAATGGAGCGAGATATGCTAAAATAATGTCAGTTTCAATCTAATTTGATAATTTTTCAGTCAGTTTTAGCAAAAATTTTTATGTATTTTAAAAATGTGCTGAAACACTTTAAAAATGCAAAAGTAATACTAGTTTTGGCCTAATTTGATAAATTTTCAGTTTGTTTTTAGCGAAATGTTGGAAAATAGTTCTGTTTCTCGCTAAAAACATACTAAAACGCTAAGAAATTGATAAAATAATGTACTTTCCAACCCATTTTAGCGATTTTTTTACCTTGTTGAGTGTAATCATTTAGAAAACCAAAACTATCTCTCGATTTTTTAACTTGTTTTAGAGAAAATTTAGAATTTGAGTTTTTGCATGGCTAAAAAAACGTGAAAAATGCTCAAAAAAATACAAAAAAAAAACTAGTGTTATCCTTTTTGATTGAATTTACTATATCAATATGTAATTAAAAAATCAAATTAAAAAAGATAATTTTACTAACATTTTGGCTGGAACTATAGTCACGTTTCCAAAAAAAATCATCAGAAATTGGAATTGTTTCAAAAGTTTTCAGACAATCATTAAACTAGTACAAAAGTCACCAGATCTGGTGAAATTTCACCCGACCTGGCAACACTGCGTCAGTTCTACCAAAACACCTTTCATTATTATTAGCAAAGAAAATAATTAGATTTTACTTAATTAAGCTAGAAATTGTGCATTGTTTTTCAGTTACGGGACATTAGCCGATTGTTTGTTTTTACGGTGGCGGGAAATTCAAACCAGTTTTGACGCCTTTAAGTTTTTATTGTATATACTCGTATGTTGTATAATAAATACATTTCGTTGAGTACACGTAAGTACATTCAAAAAACGAGAATTAATTGTATTATCACAAGTAGTACGTAAAAATCACACAATATGAGAACTGTGATGATTCCTCAGTATGTATAGTAATAAATAAATTTGTTTCAGTATTACATCTAAATTCCTACATTGTATAAAATTGTAAATAAATTAATAGACAAAATATACAATAATTACAAAAGCTCTCTACTATTTGTTGTGAAAAATTGCGACTGGTATAAAATAAATTAGGAAATTATTTAAGGCTCACTTCTTTTCTAGTCTACTAGAAAAACCCTAGACCAATAAACTAAAGCAATTATATGTTATTTATTCGTGCTGTCCCATTTTCCTTTATTGAGTTGTTGCTAACCATTTGATTGTGATTGTATATTGATTGGAGGGGCACGTGGAGTAGTTCCACAATTTTAATAAACTCTTTTTCTGTAACAAATCCACTAAAATTCGTGTTGTTTACAATGAAAATTTACCGTTCTCTGACGTAATCATCCCATGCCTGATTAAAAAATCTAGAGCCACTGGAACACTCGTTGTCTTAAAATCAGAACTGAACAATTTCTCAAGACACTGTTCAGCTGGAAGCAATTCAAAAGTTTCAACTTCCCCATCCGCATTTTCTGGAATAAAATCTAATGGAAGTTCCAAATCGAAAACAAACTCTGTATTAGGGAATAAGCCCCTTTCAGATTCGAAAAAAAACCTACAGAAATCCAATCAATTCCGAAAAACGCCCCCGAATCGGTGACTTACGAGACACATCCCGCGCTGACTAAATTCTTCATCAATTCTGGCGGAATGGACGCCTCCTCCATGGCTTCCTTGTAAGCAGTTTCAAAAATCCCGTGACCCACTGATAGCCCCCCGCCCACCATATTGTCCCATTTACCTAAATTCGTCGCTTATTAATAGATTTTCGCACGTTTCGGCACTGACCTGGCCAGGTTTGTTTGGTGGCGGAGCGCTTTTGCAGCCACAGACACAGCCCCAGTTTGGGGTGGCGCACGTATCCGTTGATGTCCACCCCGTAGTTGCGAATGCCGAAGAGACACGTCGCCGAGCGGTCCATTTTGAGGAGACTCTTTGAGGTGAAGTCGGTCTTGACCTCGTAGCACTGAAACAGGGGGGTTCAAGGACACGCAGTGTAAACTGTGGGGCTCACCTCGTCGCGCCACCCCTTCAACGCGATGAAGACGCTGCCGGCGCGCAATTCGCGCAAAACCCGGTCCACCTGGGTGCTGCGCTCCTCGTAGTCGCGGAAGGCGGGGTTCAGCTCCACGCAGCCGGAGGTTATGCGAAAAACCTTGAAAAAGTCGTTTTAATATCGGCCAATTTTGCATAATTAAGTTACTTCAGGGAACTTTAGGAGCTGTTTCATGACGTCCGGCCGGACGAGCCCCACTTGGAAGCCCTCGACGACGAAGGGCCGACAGTCGCCCGACGACAGACCTGCAAGTTTTAAATAAATAGCCGCGACTCGTGGCGATTTTTTCAAATGTTATGGGTGTATGCCAAGATCAATATCACAAACAATGGTTTACGCACGATTTTTCTCGCGATTTGTGAATGTAAACGGGTGCGAAACACCACGGACTTGTTCCCTCGCGTCGAGGACTCACCTGACAAGTAGAAACAATTAAATTTCTGAGCGAGTTTGAGTAATCTTGACATGTTCTCTGGCGACCGTTGCACTGACATTGGAACACTTGACATTTTTATTGACAGCCCTTGTTGACGTTTCTGGGGGATTTTCGTATTTCACTAGTTACAAAACTTCAACCTCAAAATACCAACAAGTGACGTGTAAACATTTCATCATTTCACACGCAATGAGTTCGTTTAAACGCGACAAAAAGGAGGAAGAAGACGGTTTGTAACCCTCTTCTATTATTCACCCCCCAAACTAACTCAATTTTAGGGGGCGGCAACCCTTTTCAAAACATCGAGAAAACAAGAGGCTCGTGTCTTCAACGACACGACCGTCAACCCCAGAAGATGCACTCACATTCTCACCAAACTTCTCTACCTTTTAAACCAGGTAAGTCAAAAACCGCCTCCTTGCACACTTACAACCGCCATTTCAGGGGGAACAACTTGGCACCAAAGAAGCCACAGATGTGTTTTTTGCAATGACTAAACTATTTCAATCCCGTGATGTAATCCTACGCTGGATGGTTTATCTAGGAATTAAAGAATTGAGCTCAATTGCCGACGATGTCATCATTGTTACTTCAAGTCTCACTAAAGACATGACAGGGAAAGAAGATTTATACAGAGCGGCCGCCATTAGGGCCCTTTGCAGTATTACAGACGCGACAATGTTGCAAACAATTGAAAGATACATGAAACAGGCGATTGTGGACAGAAACTCAGCTGTGAGTTCAGCAGCTCTTGTCAGTTCGCTACATTTGACCAAATTGGCCCCAGAAGTGGTCAAACGGTGGGTCAACGAGGCCCAAGAGGCCGTCAATAGCGACAAGTAAGTAAAAAAATTTCAATTGCAAAAAATGCCAAAGAAATATTTAGCGTGGCTATGCAACTAACAATACGCCGAACTAAAAAACTAATTTTTGTATTTATTGTTACAAAACTATGACTTATTTCTATTGCATAACGTTGAAAAATCATAATAGACGACTTTTGATAAATTAAAATATTATTTATCTCTTAAATGGTTAAATTTGTGTTTTGTAGTTATGCAACCAACAAAACACGTTTTTCTTACACCAAAATTTTTTTTGTTTATTGTTACAAAACTATCACTTATTTCTATTGCACAACTTTGGAAAATCATAATAGACGACTTTTGATAAGTTAAAATATTATTTATATCTTATTAAATGGTTAAATTTGTGTTTTGTAGTTATGCAACTAACAAAACACGTTTTTCTTAAACCAAAATTTTTTGTGTTTATTGTTACAAAACTATGACTTATTTCTATTGCAAGACATTGTGTTAATCATAATAGACGTCTTTTGATGTATTAACTTGTTATTTATGGCTTAAAAAATGAAATTTGTGTCTCGTGTTATGCAACCAACAAAACACGTTTTTCTTAATTTCAGTATAATGGTCCACTACCACGCGTTGGGGCTCTTATACCACACCCGCAAGACGGACCGCTTGGCCGTGACCAAGCTTGTGGCAAAACTGACTCAAATTTCGCTAAAATCGCCCTATGCTGTGTGTATGTTGTGTGTTAATTTTTGTTTCTTTTTACAAAAGAATCGTCCTTTGGGCTGGAATAAACTGGATTTTTGATTTATGCTGCTCAAGTAAACTTTTGTCATGGCTGGTTATCGAAAATATTTCTGCAAGTACCCTGGCTGCACCAGTGGATACGTGCCGAACCCCGTTGAAGGACATGCCAACAAGCACTTCTTCACGTTCCCTAAAAACCCAAAGCTTCACGAATTGTGGAGGAATGCCTGCAAAATTGAAGGTTCCGTAAGGTCAAAGTTTTGGCGTTTATGTGAGGATTATTTTGAACGCCGCGATTTTGTGAATGAGAGGAAGGATAGATTAAATCCAAATGTAATTCCCAAGCCCTATGTTTTGGCTTCACAAGAGAAGTTTGTTGACATTTCACAAACAAATCTTTCTGTGGCAGATGATAGTTTTGTGGAAAATTCTTGCAGAAAAGGTTTTATTTTGTATTACGTCTGGGGCAGACAGGCAAACTATGCCAATACTGACTGATTTTATTGTTAATAATACGAAAAATTTGATTTGTTGTATCATTTTGTTATTGATAGTTTACAATAAAAAAGTTTAACAAAACATTTGTTTAATTACCTTGAAACAATTTAATAATGGCAAGTTTCATTTCAAATTTTGTTTAAAATTATTTTTTTTATTTTATTTTATTTGCAAGATGATAATAATATTTGAAAATGAAGGGGGTCAATTAAAATGTCGCGCCATTCCGTGTTAGTAACGCACTTTACCACCAGAGGCTCGTGTTGCCAGTGATTTGCTAGGGAGATTTGATTTCTTATTCTCTCAGTTGTGTGCTCTGAGGGGGGTTCGTCGTTGCTGTAACACCGAAATTAATATCTTGCTCTAATGAAGTTACTATGATCTTACCGTTAGGGTTATTATTTCGAAACAAACCGGACAGTCCATTTTCGTACAGTGTTTCCAATGACTTATAATCTGTCTCGAGGAACTACAATGCGCCACGGAACAACTTTTTCCCGCATTACACGTCCTCAGATGATTCAAAACGTTCTTCATTGTTTTACAATGGGGTAAATTACACTGCCACCATTCACCATTGGCTTGCGCCTCTCGTTTTCGACACTTATGTGCGTGTAGTAACAACACTAATTGTTGTTGAATCAATTTTCGTCTTTCTGTGATTGCTAGATAAAGTAATATGAAGGACAACATAAGACAACGCATGCACTAACTACACATAAAATAATAAAACCGACACTTACTCGTCGAAGACGGTGGCGGCCCCGCCCCCTGGTTCTGGGTGGCGGTTTGTGGTCCTGGTTGTGTTCCGGACTGAGGTTGGGCAGGTGATGATGCAGGCAGTTGGGGTGTGGCGACACCTTGAGGTCCGGCGTTGGGATATGACATTGGTTGGTTTTCAAACCCTGAACCCTTGCCTCTTGACCAAATAAAACAATTTTTATAATTTTTAAGCGCCCCTTTTGAGGTACTGTATGGTTCCCAGGATGGTGTGGCCACGGGTATGAAGCTGAGATAGGCGCTAGGAATGGGCAAAAGTAACCGGTTATTGTTCTTAAAGTTAACCGTTTATTTCAGGTTATTTTGAAACCGCGATTTAATCGGTTATTGGATGTAATAACTGGCGATAAAGGTTATTTTGTGGGTGCCTGCTAGCTGCCCGTGTCCCAAGACTCCCAAGCTGCTTTCACTTACACGAAAAACGAAACCTCACCAATTACAGATTAGTTTTCATTATATTGTCTGGTTGGCACTTTTAGTAGCCCTGCGCGTAACAGTTGTCGCTGCTCGTGGTCTGCGTTATCTTATCTTACTTGTGTTAAAAGCGCTAAAATTCACTTAATTTTATTGACAGCCCTTGTTGACGTTTCTGGGGGATTTTCGTGTTTCGCTAGTAACAAAACTTCAACCTCAAAATACCAACAAGTGACGTGTAAACATTTCACTCCTGAAATTTTAATCCACACACAATGAGTTCGTTTAAACGCGACAAAAAGGAGGAAGAAGACGGTTTGTAACCCCCTTCTACTATTTTCCCCCAAACTAACTCAATTTTAGGGGGCGGCAACCCTTTTCAAAACATTGAGAAAACAACAGTGTTGCAAGAAGCTCGTGTCTTCAACGACACGACCGTCAACCCCAGAAGATGCACCCACATTCTCACCAAACTTCTCTATCTTTTAAACCAGGTAAGTCAAAAACCGCCCCCATGCACACTTACAACCGCCATTTCAGGGGGAACAACTTGGTACCAAAGAAGCCACAGATGTGTTTTTTGCAATGACTAAACTATTTCAATCCCGTGATGTAATCCTACGCAGGATGGTTTATCTAGGAATTAAAGAATTGAGCTCAATTGCCGATGATGTTATCATTGTTACTTCAAGTCTCACAAAAGACATGACAGGGAAAGAAGATTTATACAGAGCGGCCGCCATTAGGGCCCTTTGCAGTATTACAGACGCGACAATGTTGCAAACAATTGAAAGATACATGAAACAGGCGATTGTGGACAGAAACTCAGCTGTGAGTTCAGCAGCTCTTGTCAGTTCGCTACATTTGACCAAATTGGCCCCAGAAGTGGTCAAACGGTGGGTTAACGAGGCCCAAGAGGCCGTCAATAGCGACAAGTAAGTAAAAAAAATTTCAATTGTAAAAAACGCCAAAGAAATATTTAGCGTGGCTATGCAACCAACAATACACCGAACCAAAAACACAATTTTTTGTGTTTATTGTCACAAAACTATGACTTTTTTCTATTGCACAACATTGAAAAATCAAAATAGACGACTTTCGATAAATGAAAATGTTATTATTTATCTCTTATATCTTTAAATTTGTCTCGTGGTTATGCAACCAACAAAACACGTTTTTCTTACACCAATTTTTTCTTTGTTTATTGTTACATAACTATCATTTATTTCTATTGCAAAACATTGTGTCAATCATAATAGACGTCTTTTGATGTATTAACTTATTATTTATTGCTTAAAAAAGTGAAATTTGTGTCTCGTGTTATGCAACCAACAAAACACGTTCTTAATTCTTAATTTCAGTATAATGGTCCAATACCACGCGTTGGGGCTCTTGTACCACATCCGCAAGACGGACCGCTTGGCCGTGACCAAGCTGGTGGCAAAACTGACTCGAATTTCGCTAAAATCGCCCTACGCCGTGTGTATGTTGATCCGCATTGCTGCTAAGCTCCTTGATGAGGAAGACACTGGTAACGATTCACCCCTCGCTGAGTTTATCGAGTCTTGTCTTCGTCACAAGAGCGAAATGGTGGTCTACGAGGCGGCCCACGCCATCGTCAACCTCAAACGCACCACCAGTCGCGAGTTAGCCCCCGCAATCAGTGTCCTTCAACTGTTTTGCGGATCACCAAAACCGACTTTGCGTTTCGCCGCCGTTCGTACATTGAATCAAGTCGCGATTTCGCATCCGGCCGCTGTGACGGCTTGCAACTTGGATTTGGAGAATTTGATAACGGATTCGAATCGATCAATCGCGACTTTGGCCATTACGACGTTGTTGAAGACGGGGGCTGAGTCGTCGGTTGATCGGTTGATGAAACAGATTGCGACTTTTGTGTCGGAGATCAGCGATGAGTTTAAGGTGGTGGTGGTGCAGGCGATTAGGGCGTTGGCGTTGAAGTTTCCACGGAAGCATAGCGTTTTGATGAATTTCTTGTCGGCGATGTTGAGGGATGAAGGCGGGTTGGAGTACAAGGCGTCGATTGCTGATACGATTATCACAATAATTGAGGATAATCCAGAGGCGAAGGAGGCGGGATTGGCGCATTTGTGTGAGTTTATTGAGGATTGCGAGCACACGTCGTTGGCGGTGAGGATTCTGCATCTGTTGGGCAAGGAAGGACCGAGGACTAAACAACCCTCAAGGTACATAATATACTCTTTTTCATACTGATTTGCATCAAGTAGGTTCCAGACAGTGTTGCCAGGTCTGGTGAAATTTCACCAGATCTGGTGATTTCCATACTAGTTTAATAAGTGAAAACTTTTGTAAAAATTCTATCTGGTGATTTTTTGGAAATGAAAAACTGTTTTTCAGGCATTTTCCACGTTTTCAACCAGAAACTTGATTATTTCGTATTTTTTTTCTTTTTCAAAAAAGTCGAAAAACCACTAAATGACGGATCAAAAATGACTATTGTTATCTTATTCGAATACTTTTTCAGCTAGAAAGAATTATTTCACAAAATTTCGTTAAAAACAATTCAACAAATTCGACCAAAAACGCCGTTATTTTTGCTCGTCTCAAGTGTTTTTGAGATAAAAACAAAGAAAATTCTAAAAATTTCATTGAAGCAGGCAAAAAAATTACAAAATTAAAATTTTAGCTTGTTTCGCCCGACTTACTTTGTTTTTGAACCAGATGCTCATTTATTTTGCAAAATCTTGTTCAAATCCACTTAAAAATCACAAAAACAATTGATAGTGATGTTATTTTGTTTGTTTCACTCGATTTAACTGGTTTTTGAGTAAAATAAGACAAAAATAAACCGAGAATCTTTTTAAGCACGTTTGTATACTTCAATCTCAGGTTTTTTGCAAGACTAAAACAAATTGAAAAATCAATAAAATAAGTAGAAAATTAGATTAATTTTGCATTTCTTGAGTGTTTTAGCAGATTTTTCAGCTAGAAACGCAATTATTTCGCAAAATTTTATTAAAAACAAGCCAAAAAAGCGCAGAATTAAGCCAAAAATGATATAATTTTTTCCTTTTTCAAAAGTTCAAACAGATTTTTTAAGTTTTTCGCGAGAGTTTGCCACAGCGTGTCAAAAATCACTAAATTGTTATAAGAAAATTATATTATGATATTTTTACCTAACTCTTAGGCTTTAACTTGATTATTTCGTCCAATTTTTTCTCGAATAAAAACCATCAAATTGGTTAAAAATAGTTCTATTTGTTTTTTACCAAACAAAATATTACTAAACAGAGTCGAAAATGACAACTTATTTTTGTTTTCTTCCAATGCTTTTTTAGCTAGAAACACAATTAATTATTTTCTAAAATTTTGTCAAAAACAAGCCACAACAAACCAAATTCGACAAAATAGCCAAAAAACGGCGTTTTTTGCCTTTTTGAAAGATAAGAACACATAAAGTTCGAAACATTGCTTTGAAACAGGCTAAAAATTACAAAATTAAATCGGCCAAACACGCCTAAAAATCAAAAAAAGGATTGATATTGATGTTATTTTGTTTGTCTCACTAGATTTAGAGAAAACACAAAATTTGACCGAAAATGCTTTTAAGCACGTTTTTGTACTAAAATCTCAGGTTTTTCGCTAGATTTCGCTAAAACAAACTTAACAATCAAGAAATTAAGTCTAAAATTACATTACTTGTGTATTTTTCGAGCGTTTTAGCACGTTATTCGACTAAAAATGCAATTATTTAGCAAATTTTTGTTAAAAACAAGCCGGAAAATCACAGAATTAGTTCGAGAAGCATGTGATTTTTGCTTTTTTTTCAAGAGTTTAAGCAGATTTTGAAGCTGAAAACTGCGTTTTTACGCGACATTTTGTCATACAAATCGAAATCTGGTGAAAATTTACAAATTTTTGGATCTGGTGATTTTTTTTTCATCTGGCAATATGAAAACGAGGTATTCTTTCTTAATACTTTTTTTTTAACAAAAAGAAGGCTGTTTTGATGGTAAAAACTGTCACAATTCAGTCTAAATTTGCAAAATTTTTCAATGACTCGTGGTAATCAGCGCGACGTAGCGCGCGCGAGAAACCAGAAAAAACAGCAAGACAAGGCGAAAACCAAGTCGCACAACAATGGTTTAACCTTAGAACAACGTAAATTCCGCGACGCTGAGACAATGCGTGAAAAACAGCGAAAAAAAGAGGAAAACCAACCAACCCCTAAATCGTAATTTGTATTTTTTTTTAAATTTAGGTGCATTCGTTTCATTTATAACCGCGTCATTTTGGAGAACCCCACCGTTCGAGCAGCCGCCGTCTCGGCCATGGCCCAATTCGGGGCCACCTGTCCCGACCTCCTCGAGAACATCCAAGTCCTCCTTGCACGTTGCCAAATGGACTCCGATGACGAAGTCCGCGATAGGGCCACCTACTACAGCAGTATCCTAGGCCAACAAGACAAGGGGCTGTACAATAACTACATCCTGGAGACTCTGCAAGTGTCGATCCCGGCCCTGGAACGCTTCCTCAAAGACTACACGCAAAACCCGAGCGACAGCCCCTTTGACATGAAATCGGTCCCGATCGCGGTCATCCCCACCCGTGAGGAGACCGAAGACAAGCACAAGTCGGAAGGAATGATAATTTCCAACGGCCCCCCTAAACCCGCAACTGTCTCACGCGAGGAGAACTTCGCAGAGAAGTTGAGCCAAATCCCCGGAGTCGCCGATTTGGGGCCCCTGTTCAAGAGCTCGGAAGTGGTCGAATTGACCGAATCCGAAACCGAGTATTTCGTGAGGTGCATCAAACATTGTTTCACCAATCACGTTGTGTTGCAATTCGACTGTTTGAACACTCTCAGTGACCAATTATTGGAGGATGTGCGAGTCCAGCTTGACACCAGTGAGGGTTATACCATTTTGAAGGAGATTCCGTGCCCCAAATTGCCGTATAACGAGACAGGCTCGGCTTATGTTATTTTGCAATTCCCTGAGAATGATTTACCGAATAGCGTGGGCACGTTTGGGGCCGTTTTGAAGTTTATTGTCAAGGATTGTGACCCCAATACGGGGCTGCCGGACACCGACGAGGGGTACGATGATGAGTACATGCTCGAGGATTTGGAAATCACACTCGGGGACCAAATCCAGAAGATAAATAAGGTCAATTGGGGGGCTGCGTGGGAGGAAGCCATAGCCACCTGTGTGGAAATGGAAGATACTTACTCCTTGAGTTCGATGAGTACTTTAGAGGAAGCGGTGAAAAATATTATCCAGTTTTTGGGGCTCCAGCCGGCTGAACGAACCGATAAAGTCCCAGAAGGGAAAACCACACATACTTTACTCCTAGCCGGTAATTATTTCAAATTGTGTGGTAATTTATTACTTAATGTGATTTTAGGGATGTTTAGGGGCGGCATTGACATTCTTGTGAGGGCCAAACTGGCCCTTGCTGACGGTGTGACAATGCAATTAACGGTGAGGTCAACTGATGGCGACGTTGCTGAATTAATTACGTCAACAGTAGGATAAAAAGTTATATTCATGTTTCTAAAGTTATTAAACCACGTATTGATTATCCTGCACTTTGGCTATTTCATCCTTGAACTGCGAAATTGTCTCTTTGGCTAGTTTGAGACGGTTTTTCAGGACCCCAATCTCCGCTTTGACTTTTTGTTTCGCTTCTGTGATATTTTTCAACGTTTTTTCCTTCTTTTCCTCGACTAGAAAGCAAAGTTAATTGGGGAAAAACACTTAAGACACCTACAATTGGTATTGTGCTCCCAGCGCCCCAAAGTCAATTGTTTGGTGTTTGTTAACAAATGGTGCATCAGCTGTGTGGGGTCTTGGAAGACAATCTCGTCGTAGCTTTCCGATAGGAGCCCCTTTCCCTGCTCCATCCCTATGTCCACAGTCCCACCAGAGGGGAAAAGTTTCAAGATGTGGTACATAGTAACCTACAACAGTCCCAATTGAAGATACAGCAAACAATGAAATAAAATTACAGGTCGTTCATTGGGGTCGTGGAAATGTATTTTGATGACAATTTCAAACTCGCCCCAGCCAGTTTCGCTGATTTCGTAAGGGGGCTTCACGACGATACGGTTCTGGTTGGCGTAGCTTTCATGCAGCTTGAAATGGACTTTTTTCACGTAACAGGAGATGTCCTCGTTGTTGTAGGGCTTCACATAAACTGTCCATTGGTGCGTGTGTCCATCTTCTTCGCGTTTTTTGCCGAAATAGCGAGCTATGTTGCCGTAAACGATGGGTTTCACAATGCATACCCCCTATGCAAAATTACATAATTAACACAGTTGTTGGTATTGGAAGAAGGGAAAGTAAACGTACTTTGAGTCGGCCGCCGGAATCGGGCCCAAAATCAGTCGGGAGGCTCATCTCATCGATTCAAAATAAATAATTTTTGAGGTTGTGTTTGGTATTTCCGAGCTACCAACATTAGGCAAGTGTCAGATTTTATTCAAATCTTATTTAAAAAATCCACAAGCAAATTTTTGCCCAACGACTCACGTGTCATTAATCTCAATTTAAGAATAATATGGTTTTTACAAGTTTATAATTTATTTTGTTTGTTTTGCATCTTGGTTATTTTTTGTTGTGTTGGCGCTCTGGCTGGCCGCTGTCGGTGTGAGGTTATGTCCAAAACCGCCAAGGTGGGAACGCTGGTGCTAGTTGGGGGCGAGTTTGGACATTTCCTTGTGTTCACGATGTTAGATTTACTTCCCTTTTTATCAACCATTTTACCGATAATAGCCTCAAGTCTTGTTATCCTCGTCCTCTCCCTGAATCTTTATTTGAAAATCAGGTAAGTAAAACGCCGGTGAAACGTGACCTAAATCGTGACTTCTAGACGCAACTTCCCAATTAGTGTTAATTGCTGGTTCTGCAATTCATGGACCAAAGTACCTTACGACGACCGAAACAGTTTTGATTGCCCGACTTGCTCGCAATATAACGGTTTCACACACGTGGGTTTTGGAGGTTTTGAACGATAAGAAATTTGAATTTTGATCGGTTTTAGGACGGCGGTTACAACAAGATTATTCCAGAACAACATGACGAGTTCATGAATCAATCGACGAGGGTTAAAAGTCGGAAAAGCGGCGCCTCGAATGGTTTATGTGCTTTGTGTAATAACAATCAGCAGTTGAAGGTTTTCCAACTTGCTCATTTTGTTCCCATGAACGAGGAGAATTATGATGTGGAAATTGAGCATTTTCAGTATGTCACAATACTCACAATCACAAACTTACAATAATTGTTCCGTGACTTTTAGAAAACAACTGGAAAAAGCCTACAAGCTGTGCAAGAAATGTGACAAAGTCTTGAAGAAAACCATAAGTAAGCAAAATGCTTGGATATTTGGAAACCGCGTCAAGGATTTATGCCACAACGGAATCTCAAAAATTGCAAACCAGTTTAAAAAAGAAACAAGACTTTCACTTCTGAGAAAAATAGACGGCTGCTTATCACTTGTGGTCGTCCTCACGATTATTTTAATCACTTTATTTGGAATCAGAGGTTTTACGAGAACTTTAGCCAATTATATGCCAACGGCCTGTTTACCTATTTACAAAAATATTGTTTCTTTAGCCAACACTTCAAAACTGATTGAAGTTAAAATTTTCAATTTCACAAAGAATCTCAAAATTGAGCCTCATTTTGTCGTTTCTAGTGCAGGTTTTTTCTCTCAAATAATCAGAATGTTTTTGAGTCAATACAACACTAACACGAAACTAAATCAATTCCTTTGTTGGGTGATTCTTTTGTTAATATCGTGGCTACGTTTCAACAAGACTTACACGCCTTATATCTTATTTATTGAGGTGAGTTTAGTTATTGGAAAGACAAGTGTTTGAGTGTCAATTTTAGGCTTTCTCTTGCATTTATCTACTCAGCACTGCCTTTACCAAACCTGAGCCAAAGAAGCCTATTCCGAAGCCAACCGGGATGCGAAAACTGGTCAAAAACCTGGAATACACCACCAGCGACGTCTCCGATTGCAGCGACTTTGAAAATATTTCAGACAAGTCGAATTCCACTAGCCTCGATGTGCCTCTTACCACTGCCTCAGTACTTAGCTCAAGTTTTAAAACCGCCCCCGACTTGAATAAAAGCCTAAACAATCTGACTCTGGGCTTCAAGTCGCCGCCGCGGCCTAAGCCCGTCCTGTCGCCCCCCAAGTTCCAAACCGTCAATTCGTGGGTGGCCGGGGGCTTCTGGCGGGAGGGCGACGGCCTGGTGTTGCCGCCGACGCAGAGGACCAACCTGAGTCGGTGCTCCAGCGAGAGTTCCGGGTTCGGGTCCCAGCACGAGGCCCCTTTCGTGCCGAAATACTACGAATTTGATAGATTTTCGCAAGTTTCCGACTCGCGTTTTAGCCCCATTTTGTTCAGGGGGGTTTACCCCAAGCCTGCGTTCGTGCGTCTTGATGCATATCAGAGGAAAAGTCCGGAGAATTGGTCGGAGAAAATCAACTCACAAGCCACGCAGAGCTTCCGGGATCTGAGTCTGCGCTCGAATTATTGAGATTTTTATTTTGTGATTTGTGTTAAGTTTGGAAAAATCAAAAACGACAGGTTTTTAATCACTGCCATTGAGCTACCTCGACTTTTTGATTTTTTACTAGGTTAAGAGCAAACGCGGTTTGAATTTGCCGCCGAAACTGCCAAATCAAGGCGGGGAATTTGAATTTAATTGTTTGAGATTAAGCTGTATTTGTTTTAAATACATTTTTTTGAAACTTGTGGTGTTTCTGGTATGCACTCCCACGTGATTGGGTTGAAATGACTGGGTCTGGGGACAGGTACCAAGTCTTGTGGGGATACCACTTTACACGATGGTCGGTTTCTTAGGTTTAGGGCAACCGTTGTCAAGTTGGTGGCGTCCATTATGGACGAATTGGTCCTAAAAAAACATTAAACACAGAAAATCATCGATAAAAATTATACAGGGGAATCGCAAATCGCTTAAATTTGTAAGCATTGAGCTCGGGGGCTGCGTAATTGTCGGTATAGTGGGTGATTTGATTCTGTCGTGGGTCTTGCGATTCACACTCCCATTTCTCTTTTTTGTACTCGACGAGGCCAGTTTGGGTCATATTGCCCTAAAGAAAAATTCGAGAAAATTCCCAAAACCTGACAAACTCACAAAAGTCGGTAAATACTCCTCAAGTGGTATATAGTGACCATTCCTCAAGCGTTTCCTCACCAAATTCTCGTTCACACACTTGGGAAAATGATTAAACGACAAGTCATACATGCTAGAAAAATTATCAAAGTAATTGGGAAAGTCGCTCCGCCCGGTTTGTGGAATGAAATTACTGTCCTGTAAACATTTATTTGTTTTTCCAAGTCTTAAATCAGTTTTGCTTTACTTCAGATTTTAGTTTTTGGTCCCAAACTGCCGTAAGGTCGCTTCTTGAGTTTTGTTTTTGTTGAAAATGGTCCCGATATGTCGTAATGTGGTCTTTGTACTCTTGGGGGCTGTACTGGGCATTGAGACGGTCGTAAACCCAAGGCCCTATTAACACTTTATTCGAATAAGTGGACGGAGTAATGAAAACTAGACGGGGTTGAGGCACTGAGTTTTTGGCGCGCATTTTTAAATCGATCTTATTCGACATAAAAAAAAGTGATTGGTACGATGTCACGTTGACAAATATTTGTTAGTGTCAAGTGGCCGATTTTTTAATTAATTTTATATGCAATAATTTTTTTCTCCATTATTTATGTATTTTGCTTTTTTAACAACGTCATTGACGAACTCATTTGGGTGCGTTAATAACTTCTCAAGGTGGATTAGCCTAGTGTATTTTATGTTTTTAATGTTGGTGACAATGCCGTTGTAAGTAAATTGCTTACAATAAACTTACCAATTTCCCGAATTTTCGGTGGCGAACATGAAAAAATCTACGAGTATTCATTTCTAGATTACGCACAATGACAAATGTTAGGTTGAGTTGAATTTTAGTGTCACCAACTGACACAAAATTTCCTAGATTATTAAAAAAAAAACAGAATAAAAAGCGTAAAAACAATAAAAACAAAGCAAAAAGTAGCTTAAAACAAATATATTTGATAAAAATAATGTGTATAGACATGAATATAAAATAGTGATTTATCTTTGTCTCCTAGCTTTTTCCTTGTTGCCATTTTTACACGTATTTACTCTACAAAAAAAAATAAAAAAAACGTTATTTGTTAATAATTCTAATCGAATCAATACTTTTTAAATGAAAATTTCTCAAACTTGTAATCTTCAGGTTTGGGGGCCCTAAAATCAACTTCGTAGCTTGTAAAAGGTCTGAAATCCTTGTCGCATTCCCACTGTCCCTTTTTTTGTTTTACTAGACCAAAATTGGTCCAATTGCCCTTAAAAACGTATCATAAATCATAATACAAGTATCAGTATTGCCAACTTACAAAACTAGGGAGAAATTCGTCTATAGGTTCGTGGTGCCCCTTCTTCAACCGCCATTTTCTTTCAATCGGCTTTTTGACACATTTTGGGAAATAATTATAAGCCAAATCGTTGGTACTACTGTACTTATGAAAAAAATTTGTACTCTCGTAACATTCGTTTTGAGAAATAAAATTGCTGTCCTAAAATAATAATAGAATTTTTTGCGTCCGTTTGAAATTCTCACTTCGTTTTTCAATAAATGATCCCACATGAGGGCCGAATCCCATTTCGAGTACGGCTTGGGAGTGAAAGATTCTCTGTAAACTGTAAGAAAATCGTGATTTTTTGGTACTGGTGGTACCTTATTGTGACGACGTTCGAACCATTCCCCGATTAGTACTTTCTCAGAGTACGAATCGGTCGTTTTCTAAAAATAGACCAATAGGACAAAAATTACAATTTTGGACTTATACCGAGTACAAAATTTTCCGATTCATGACTTAAAAATTGTCTTGTCAAATTTTATGGATTTGGACTGGTATGGGTTTTGATCACAAAAACTGCGATTTTTGTCAATTTTTGATACAACCAAGATTAAAAAAACGTCAAGTGCAAAATCTCTGTTCTGTTGAGTAACATAATTGAGTAAATAATGGAAAAAAAGTGTCAATATGATAAAATTCAAGTGTGGGCAAACAATCAATACTGTGTAAATTTGGTACATTAGTGTCTACAAAGCGATTGTGTTTTCATGTTTGTTTGATGTGTGTGGTCGGATGATTTTATTATTGTTGTTTTCACTAAATAGGATTTTAAAAATTTGAAATTATGGCTCCTGCGCGGTATGGAAGCACGCATGCGCTTTGACATTTTATCTGTCAAAATGCATCCGTTTGTTGTCAAATCAGCTGTACAAATAGTCTCAACACAAAAAGACTTTAATTAAAAAAAATCGCCTGAAACTGTTCAAAATGCGTTCAGTTAGTGTCACTCGTGTGTTTGTCCTCCCATTTTTCGTTTAAGTGCATCGGTGTCTTCACATCCGGTTCGCTCTAACTCTGAGGAGTCTTGAAAAATGCGTGATTCACCCAATTTGTAAGTTTTCGATTATGTTATGTGCACTCCCTGGTGCCTGGACGTCCGGCCCCCGACGCCTGGTTGTCTGTCGCCATGACAACGTGAGATGATAGCGCCGGTGATGAAGTTGGGACGGTGATGGGCAAACAGGAGATGGACAAAAGCACCGAAGAAATCGAACAAATCAATTGTGATATTACTGCTAGTCCTGATGACGCGAATTGCCAGTTCCTCAAGTGCAATGTCGGGAAAGAGAAACAGCCGATTTACGTGGAGGCCCTCGACGAGGAGCCCCACAACGCTCACGAGGCGCTCAAGAGGACGAGGAATGGGGGCGATAGGATCTTCGCCAACCAGAACGAGGACGGGACGTGGCTGCTCCGCTGGGACGTGGGGTGCCAGAAAGAGGGCGATTTTGTCGCGTTGTGCTATCAAGGTAAGGGGGTTGGCAGAGTGCCAGGCCGGGAGGGGTCAGTCTTAAAAAAATATTTCGATTTTTTTTAAGTTATTGTTCGGATATTTTGTTGACTGAAATTTTTATCAGAAAAATTTGAAAAATAAATTAAAATCCTTCAGTTTAACCATATTTCAAGCGTTTTTGCGACAAGGTAAATTAACTACTTTTACGATTTTATTACCTTCAAAAATTGACCCAATAACGTTTGATGCACTTATTTGAGTCTTTAAGACCTCTAGAAATGTAAAAAACGTTAAATGGATCAATTTTAAAGTTGAAATTTTTTTTGATTTTTGTCGAGATTTTGGTCGATTTTTGGCACCCGGAGCGGTCTAATGGCAATAACGCCGGACTTGTTAGAGATAACCTCTTATATTTGGTACCGTTGGATAAAAAATTGAATTTTCTATCATATATTAAAAATTTCAGTGCTCTACGATGAATAGTTATCGAGAAAATTTCTGATAAAGTCAAAAGTATCGAGAATTTAAATCTGACTATAACTTCAAAACTACTTCGAATTTTGCAGTTTAATTGACGCCAATCGATTCCCCGGAACATTTTACATAGGTWTAGGTCAAAATATTATGTCATTCAGACACAGTTTTGCCGCAATTTACAAAATAAAAAAAAGTAAACTAGTGTTTTTAAACATGTCTCAGATTCAATTTAAACATATCTTATCCGATAGATTTTGAAGCGCTAATTACGAATTTCCCAATTATTTTGCGCTATCTCCTTTAGTTTCGCCGTAATCGGCATTTAAAAATTCATTTTTTTTTGCGAGATGTCGACTTGGCTTTGGCCTCAGTCGATAGATTTTCTTACGCTGATTACGATGGAGTTGGACTGATTGCTCTAAGTCTAATAGTTTTAGTTTAGTAATCGCCTTTCAAAAAGTGAAAATTGTCAAAATTGTGAAACTTTAAACGCGTTTTTCTACGAAACTATAGAACTTAGAGCAAAGGGGTAAAACCATTAAAATTAGCTTAAAATTATCTATTTACTGGCGCAAACCGGAAGTCGCTCCGGGTTATGGTTCCGGGTACAAAGGCATTATTAGTTTTTTCAAAAAAAAAAATCATATCTCAAAAACTATGAGTCTTAGGTCAACAGGGTTTATACAGGCGTGTTCTCCGGTTAATTTTACATATAGTACTAGTTTTTCATAAGAATCAAAAAATGTTGATTTTTGGTCAAAGTCGGATATAGTGCTTTTAGTCTTATTCTTAACTTTATTACTCAATATCTCAAAAACTATGGATCGTAGAGTATTCTAACTAGTTGAATCGTGTTCATCGATTTAAGGTAAATTGACTATTTTTACGATTTTACTACCGCTCACCTTCAAAAACTCAAAAAATTCAAAATTTTTGAAACTTGACCCAATGTCGTTTTATGCACTTATTTGAGTCCTTAAGACATCTAGGAATGTAAAAAACGTAAAATAGATCAATTTTAAAGATAAATTTTTTTTTTTGATTTTGGTCAATTTTTGGCACCCGGAGCGGCCTAATGGCAATAACTCCGGACTTATTACAAAATAAAAAAAGTAAAAATTTGTCAAAATCGGATGTTTCTAGCCTTATTCTTAACTTTATTACTCAATATCTCAAAAACTACTCATCATAGAACATTTTAACCTGTTGTGTCGTGTTCAGCGTGTGATTATACGTTAGGCATACCATATTTTAAGCGTTTTTGCGACAAGAAAACTTTAAACTTGACTAAAACATTTTATACACATTTCTGATTTTTTTTACATTTTTGCACTTTTCTAAGATTTTTGGACCTCTAGGAGTGCATTTGGTTTAATTTTGAAGTTTTTAATTCTTGTAAAAATTTTGGTTAATTTTTGATGTCACTTTTTTTCGTTTTTTTTTTTCTTTTATTTTATGTAGAATACTTTCGATTGTGTTCTCGAACGTAAAACCTTTTCATTCATGACTTAAAAGGTTCCCTCAATGAATAACTCCGTCATACTTTCACTGTTCGAAAGCAATAATTTGCACATTTTTCCCGCTTTAATCAGTTCGTGGGTTCCCAACGGTAACAACGGCCTTTAGCGGCAACGAAAACAATGCATTCGCAACCGCAACTCTCGCACATCGCCGGAAACGTCACCAATTAACCACCAGAAGAGTGGTTTTCAACCACCATTTAACATAGTTCCACGGCAAAAAAACAATGATTAATCAAAATTACGGATCGAACTTCTTCCATTGAAAACTAATCCGTTTGACGAAATCGGATGTTACGTAACGAACGGGGTCACCGGAATAAACACCATCATTCATTTCAGTCGCGATGAATGAAATTCTTTGACACGCACTTCCACCGCCCGACGTGGAAAGGGAAAAAAATCGCGAGTTTCTCAGAAGCCTACGATTCGCCCTTCGTGGCCTTAATTTCACCCTTCCTACGCCTTCATAGATGGGCGTAGTAGACACGCTTCGTGTAAATATTTGCAAAGAACGGCCTTGGCACCTGAAAAACACTTGGGTACAGGTAAGGATTGATTTGGATTTTTTGATGGTGAAAGAAAAAATCACTTGGCCTTCCGGCGAAGGCGGCTTTTTCTTAATTTTGACGTCCGGTCGACCGGTAATCGGATTGTCTTTTATTCGACCTCTGGAGGAACAGACACCTGTGATTTTTAACGTTCGTTGTGTTGACTTTGGGCTCGAAGGGCCGGACGAAACGTGAGAAACGAACGGAAATCAAAATAAACACCACAACGGCTCAATTGGCTCAAAAGATTAACAACTCTCGGAGAAAGCTTTACCCAAAAGTCGATAAATAATAAAAACAAACAAAATTGTCTCAAGTTTAAATGTGGAGGAGAGAATTATACTGTATGTCTGCGGATTGAGTTCACAAGAGGAAAAAATTTGTAAAAAACGAGCAAATCTGTACTTAAAATTTTATTACTCTGATTCAGTCAAAAGAAAAGTTATTTTTTCTCTTGATTTTCAACTTAAGAATATTTTTTTTTGCTTTTTAAGACCTATTACGTTGGCGGTTTTATTTATTTGACAACTATATGTCACTTTGACAATTACTTTATTAATTAAATCATGATAGTTCTTGTTAAAAACCACTTTGGTTTTTATCTTAAAGCTGTTTCTTTGAGTTGCTATTTATTAAAATTATGTGCTCCACAAACATTTTTGTTATTTAGCTTGCGTAAACTTATTTTTCAAAGTGACATCATTGTCAAAATAATAAAACCGCCAGGTTATAGGACCTAAAAAGCAGAGAAAAATTATTCAAAATCAAGAGAAAAATAAACTTTTCTTTCTACTGAGTTAGAATAATGATGGTTTAGTTACAGATTTGCTCATTTCGGGTAAAGCAAGAAATGTTTTTCTTTAGTTTTGGCAGAAAATCAAAGATTTTTTTTTTCTCTTGTAAACTCAATCCGGGGACATATTGTATACTGTTTGTGTTGGCATTGCTGTTTTAATTTTTGGTTGGCACAGCTGACATTGACACCACTTTTTATTACGTCAATTATCTCTGTCAACCAAATTATGTCGCAGTGTTACTAACAGTCGAATAAAAAATAGTGCTAAAATAATCTACGATTTTTTTTTAATCGTGATTTTATTATATTATGAAAACATTTGATAAACTTGCACTTTACGGACTGTTTTTTCAACTTTGCTGACGATTTTGATTAACGACATGACATATGAGACCGGAAGAGTACTTCTTTATTGACTATTTCATGGACAATTTCAGAAAATAATAGTTGTTTTCCAATTTATTGTTTGTGAAAAAATAAGCGTTTTATTAAAAAAAACAGTTTTAAATTCTTAAATTTAATTCAGTGTAGAGATGTTTTTTTCCAATTAAATTTTTAGACATAATAATTATTAGTCCTGAAATCTACTTCTTTACGGACGATTTTGGGTTACTTTACGGACTATTTCCTTGTTTTCACGGACGATATCAGAAAAAAAATTAGATCTGTTTTTCAATATTTGTTTGTGGAAAAATATGCATTTTGTTAAAAAGAAAC